TGGAGCACCGACTCTGGGAGTTTGGGGGTGGGGGCAAGTGACCAGTCATGAACCTGGCGGCAGCAGGGGGAGTAGCAGCGCCCCCTTGCTGTGGGGGTTTTCCGTGCCTGTGTACCCCCTGCCTGTGTCTTGCATACCCCCAGGGGTACGCATACCATGGGTTGAGAAACTATGGCCCAGAGAATAGGCTCTAGCCTCTGTGTAGCTGTCTGCAAATTCCTAGGCTGGTTACACTGTTACTCAGAACCCTGCCTCAAACAGCAGCCTTGAAACTGACAGGGCAGCTCAGTTTCAAAACTACTACTAGCATCATTATAACAAAAATTGAGATAAGCTAGATTAAGGATTTACCCTGCATGTCAGTCAATGTTCTGACTAACAAAGGAACCCACTATGAGTGCTTTAGACTGGAAACATTTAAGGAAGGGATGTTTCTTTGAAATCAGTGATTCTCAATCAATCATCCTCAGTCAGGATGCCACACTGCATTAGCACAGTTAGGTGTACAAAACATGAGTCATAAGACAAACCCAGAAGTTTCAAATAGAAATCCATAGTTGTGGTCTTTGAAAAAGAAAAAAAAGAATGAAAACTAAGAGCTGGCATTTTCTGAGGGAGTGCACTGAGTCTATCCAGGGATGCCTTGAGTCTGAAGTTGAAAAACACTGTTTTAATTGCTCAGCTTCCTTAAATGAAGTGCCCAGATTCTCAAAAGGGCTTAGTAAGAGAATCATTTCAATAGCCACTGCTGGATTCTGAACACCTTTGAAAAGCCTGGCAGCCCCACTTCTTCCAGCTCTGCATAACTGCAACCAGGTTTGACAGGGAAAGACCATTCTGCAGAAAGCTGGGAGATCTGCAGAAGCACCCCCTTTTACCTGGTTGGTGTACATTGCCAACAAAGCTTTGTTAAACTCGATCGCCTGGAGTTGTTTCTTGGAGAGTTTGTGTTCCACTCCTTCCGCATTGGTCAGCTTCACTTTCTTCTTCGAGTCAAAGACATTTTGGTCCTGTGAGAAACAGAAGCAGAGGCAAAGCCCAGTTTCACTATGCTGCTCATCTGGGAGGTGCCCCTAAAATCCCAATTTGAGTTTTGTCTCAAAAACGCCCTCCCCCTAGCCCCACCCCTATCTTCTTTCTCCCATATGCATGCACTGCTCATCCTTTGCCATGAACACCCATGGACACACACCTGCACCAGTGCTCATCAGCTCTAAACGTTAGAGAGAAAACGACAGGGGGGTAGTGAGGGTACAGCAACTTGGGAAGACATGACTATGTTATGCCCACTTATCAAGCCCCTTTCGTTATACTATCTGAGCACCTCCCAATCTTTATTGCATAACTCTCATGGGCTTCTTGCATATACACTGGTGTTATTAGCCTGAGGTACAAGGTATAAAACAGTTAAATGACTTGCCCAAGGTCATACAGGAAGCTTAGAGTGGAACAGGGCATTGAACCTGGCTCGTCCAAACAGAGGCAGCCCAAGTCCCTCCCCCATTCCCTACTGCTGTCGAAAAAAAAAAAAATCCCAACTGCCATGAAAAACAGCCAAACCCAGGCTTAAGAGAATGGTGCTACTAGCACATACTGCTGGCTAGAGCAGGGTATGAACCCATCACTTTCCTGTGTGGGGAAAAAATAAGGTCTTGGTAACTGCTCCCTCTAAACCAGTCAATGTTTAAGGGCTTTTCGCAAGACTACCACTACAGAGTATTTACTTTTTTTCTTATTATGGGAAAGGTTTTCTCTCCTTACAATAAAAGTTAGCAAGGCCACCCATAAGCCTTTGCAACACTATATAAAACTTAGGCAATCTAAAAGAAACATCTCATGAGGCAGAATGAAATAACATTGCAAGAGGCTGAATTTGAGGCATTTTTCACAGCTCAAGAAGTTGAAATTCTCATAAGGCTTACACCTTGTGCTTCAGCACCTAAGCTTTTATTTGAAGAGTAACTGACTCTCTAGATGTGCCAAAAATCTTCAGAATGTGAGCCAACTGAAACAGTGGTATGTATGTAAATCAGCATCCAAACATATCAGCTAATAAGTTACAAGGAAGTTAAACTATTTTCTTCATTCTAAGGGGTTTAATTGAAAAATGATGTCAGTTTCTGTAAAAGTGACACACTGATAAATTTGAGTTGGTCTAATAAAAGATATCAGATTTACCCAA